CGAGGCACCACCCAAATCTCCAGCCGGGCACCCCAGATCCCCCCCGAAGGGCTGCTTTGCTTGCAGATGTCCCCACAAACCCTGTCATCCTGACCTGGACAGCCCAGAGAAAGCCTCAGCAGGCAGAGAGGGCAGCGGGGCGATTTCTGCACCCTTTAGATCCTCCGGATGCTTTTTGCTAGGGTTCACCCTTGCAAACGATGGGGAGGGGACCCAACGCCTCGCTGGCAGGACCCCCGCCCCCTGCACTGGTCAGCACCCGCTGTCACCTACCTCGGGTGGGTGCACGGGAGGGGAGTTTTGGGTCCTGGGTGGGTGGCTCAGACAGGCTGGGTTCACTCGGGGCTTGGGGTCCCTTGTTCTTGCTGACGGGCATCGGCTGGGGCAGCACTTGCTTGGGCAAACCCTTGAAGAACCAGGCGCCCGAACGCTTCCACACCTGAGGGGGTACAGGCAGCGGGGTGGCACTCATGTCTCAGGGGGATGCTGGGTGCAGACCTGGCAGCCTTCACCCCCCTGCATCACCGAGGTCTTCCTCCAGCAGCCACCACACAGGACATGCACCCCTGTACCCCCCCTGCCCAGCAGCAACCCTGCAGCCCACCCCGCTAATTAATTCACTCTTTGGCTTTTGCACACTGTAGGTGGCAAGGAGCCCATCTCTGGTCACAACAGCCTCTTCAGCCCCAAGACTTTGTTTTCAAGGAAAAAAAAACCAAAACATTTCATATAGAAAACAAGATCATCCTCCAAGAATCAAACTCAAGTAGCTGGGCAAGGTCTAGTGGTGATGGGGACCAGGCTGAAAGTCCCTGGGAGCATCCCCCAGCCTGGAGCTGCTCCCGTCTCAGAGATCTGGTGTGGGGACAGTGCACAGGGTGAAACCAAGGGCAGGGAGCGCGTCCCCACTTGGGCGAAAAAAACACCCAGGGACAGGAAAAGTGCCGGGGCTGCCACGCTCACCTCCCGCTGCTCGCTGCAGATCTTGCACAGCCAGATGGCATGGGGCCGGCTGTTGGTGGTCTCCACCCCACACTTGGTGCAGACGTTCTGCAGAGAAAGCAAAGCGCTGGGTGGCAGCGGGGACATCGCGGCCACCGAAAAGTCCCATCGCACCAGCATCACCCCTTGGGAACGTGAGGTTAACGAGAGCTCTCCCGGCACAAACCTCGGTGATCGCAGAAAACCCCCCCGGGGATGTCCCCTTGTGCCACGGGTGGAGGGATGCTGGGCAACCCAACCTTGCACCAAAAGACCGAGGTGCCCGTTTTGGCATCGGGGAGGGGTTGTGTGGGTCCGGGGGTTCGCGTTCGGGTGCCCAGCAGCGGGGCGCAGGGAGACGCCTCACCTTCTTGCAGTCCTCGCAGACGACGCAGGCTGATCCCCGCGGTCCCAGCTGCTCCCCACAAAGGATGCAGCGGTTCACCCCGTCCCCCAGCACGCTCCGGCGCATGTCCTCCAGTCGGGTCATGAGTCGCCTAGCAGAAAGGGGACAGGGGTTGTCAGGAAAGACACGGCACGGCCGGGATGCTGGGATCCCGGGATCCCACTCCCAAGGGCCAGCTCCTGCCTTTGGTCCAGTTTTGGTGCAGCTTCCAGCAAAACCGCTCCTCTTCCAGCTACAGGGATGCAATTGGGGGGGAAAAAAACCCAAACACATCCCAGGGGACATATTTGAGTATTATATTCCCCTATAGCTTTATCTTGCATGACTATTAATTTCCACTGACACCGGCAGAGAGCAGATACCGTTCCCACATACGCACACGGGCATAAAATCCATCCGAGTCAGCACCTTCACGCAAAGCGGTTTGGCACCAGGGAAGGAGCTTTTTCCCCCAAATGGAAACCTTTCGACCCTGTCCCAGTGACTGCCTGCAGAAGAGATCTTGGGAGGGCTCTGGCGGGAGGACTGAACGAATTAATCAGTTTTCTCATTTTCTAAGGAAAAATATTGCATGTAATTCACTTTATGGAAATTCTTAGCCCTTTGAGTGAAATGCAAAAAGCCCACTGGAGAGCAGGCTACAAAAACACATCTGTTTCCTGCAAAGGTAAAAAAAACAAAACCAAAAACTCGTTAGGCAACTTCTGAAAAAACCAGCAGCGGCAAAAGCAGTTTGCAAAGCAGGAGCAGGAGCGAGCTCCCTGCCGAGCACCCGAGAGCTGGCAGCGAGTGGCACGCTCAGTTAACCCAGAATCCTGGCCCTAAAAATAGCACTCGAAGGCAAAAAGGATGCATTATTTATGCCATTCAGCGAGGAAGGCGAAGGAACGAAGAAAGGGAGGAGGAGATCCAAGCTCACCGGAGAAAGCAGCAGCCCCCTTCACCCATGGGGCTGCCATCCGCTCCCACGGCAGCCTGACCCAAATCTGACAAAGCTGCTAACACGGCGTGCCATAAAAAACACCCGACGTTTAAAAGACATTTTCCTACATCTCCGATAACAGCTTCGGATTTATGGCTGCTCGGCTGCCAGCACCTTGGAATCGCTCCTGAACAATATACGAGCTCCCCTCTATGCAGGGTGCCTCTGCGGTCGGTCTCTGGCCGCTCGTAGGACGGCCAACGTCCGGTGGACTGCACGTGGAAAAGCAATGCCGTTACCGTACGTGGGTGCTTGACAAAGGAATAGCAGCAAGAGTTGGGGAGAGAAAAAAAAAAAAAAAAAAAAAAGAAAAAAGCATCGTGGAACATGCAACCGATTACAGTTCATAAAATGCTGGAAACTCGCTGCAGTCCAAGAGGAGCATCCCGAAGCACTTCATCAGCCACCGAGTCAAGCCTAAAGCAGGGACGCAGCTCCGTGACTCGACGTACGTTATCTGACCAAAGCCGCGGTGTTACACCATCTCGTTTAGGTGGAAGACACCAGCCACGCTAAAACCCACTGGAGAATTTCCCCCTCCTCCCCACGCAGGGGCTTCTTCCCCAGGCTCAGGGCTGCCGATGCGGAAGTGCCTCCTGAGAATCCTTAACGAACCCGCAGCCCGCTCCCAGCGAGGAGCTGGGAAAGCTGGGGCTGGGCAGCCAGCAGAGCCAGACGGAGCCAGCAATCGGCGCGGGGGGGAACCGAACCCATGATTTTCACAGCTACGGTGTCACCAGACAGCAGATGGGCGAGCTTGCAAGTTCCTTCAGCCTTTATCGCCTGAAGTTTCAGCAGCAACATGACCACGGACTCTCTAAATAGAGCAATTCTGGTTCTCATCCTTTCGTTGAAAAAAAAAAAAAAAAAAAAAATAACATCCTCGGAGCACAGCGAGGTGCTTTAATGCCTTTCCACTTTGCTCTTAACGGGGAAGCTATCTGCTAAGCCTAACTCCTCGCTCCGGCATTATTCCCGAGAGATGCGGCTGGCTGTCCCTGCCCTTCGGCACCTGCTCACCGCTTCGCAGATGATCCATAGGTGATTTCTCCCTAGGGAATAAGGCAGCTGCCAGACCCACCACCTGCCCTCGGTGCCCACCCCAGCTCCACGGCCAATACACTCTCCTGCAAACACGGAGGTCTCGGCGATTTCAAGAGAGCTGCATCATCCCCTAAACACCCCGCCAGCAACGAGCAGTATTCCAATTAAAACCTGGAAACTGGCGGTTCCCCAAACATTTCTTATTTAAACCAAATGAATCACCCCACGGTTGTTCCATCCCACGTCCCACCACATACAAAACGCAGGGTCCCCCCATAAAGAGTCCCCAACAGCAAATAACCAACAACATCCAGCTTCTGTCGCAGCACATCGCTCCCACCTCGACAGGGGAAACATTTGGGGGGCAAAATCTTTTTTTTCCTAGCAGCGAAGCAGATGTCCAAGCCCTGTATCTTCTGCAATTTCCCCTCCCTGGGCTGCAAGAGCTCTGCTCCAAGAGCAGCAGCTTCCAGTTGGAAATCTGCAAGCCCAAACAAACTTATTATAGAAACCAGAACAAATGGCACAATCAAATGGGGAGGAAAAAAAAAAAAAAAAAAAGCCTTTGCATTTCAAGAGATTCATCATTTAGCTGCAAAATCTCTCCCAGTCTCTCATTTACCAGAAGCAGCTCCTTAAGAGGTTTTTCTTTTCTAAACCAGCCTCAGCAGTCAGTACACACACCTGCCGCACCACTTTCAAACGAAGCACATTTGCCCTAATTAAAATATCCATTCAAACCAGAGAAACTGGGGTTTTTTTTCCCCTGCCCCGATTCCAATGCTGCCATGAGAGGACTGTATCAAAAGTTGAAATTTCAAGTCCTGGCCTGAACCTGGCAGAAAGAGGGCAGGACCTGGGAAATGGGGTATCGCACCAAGATGCAGAGGCTGGGACGCTCCGGATTAAGGTGATAACTGGGAGCAAAAAAGCCCACGTTTCTCTTCGACTCCATCCAGCACCCCCCTACACGCGTGCCGGAGCCCCACGTACGTGCTCTTCTCCCACTGCTAACCGGTGGGATGCCCTGCCCTTGCCCAGGGAGCACTCGGGAACAAGCTTTCCGCCTTCCCAAAAGCTTTTCTCTCCCTCTCCCCTAGATATCATTCGTTTCTCATTTTTATTGCTCATAAAACAGCCATCCAATTCATCACCCTCCCTTGTACCTCTCCAGGACCACAGCAACATCTTCCATACCGTTATGTGCCCTTCAAAGCGCCCATCCCTCTGGCCTCTGTAAGACTAACCAAAGAGCAGGAAACACGCTTCAAATTGTTAGAATAAGGGGGGAAAAAAAAAAAAACCCAAAAGAGGAATAATTGGAGCCGGTGGCAGGGAGCTGGCTGAGCCCAGCACCCGGGAGCATCACCGCTCCTGGAGACAGCCCTGCGGAGAGGGAGAGCGTTCGTCATCCGCCAAAGAAATATATATTAGTCACCGATGGCAGCAAGATATAAGAATGGGGCGATACGCTATATCTAAAACGCTTAACATGCACCTGAGATGATAACAGCAATAAAACAGTCCCCCGATAATATAATAGCTGCCTGACCCCATAAATACGGTTTGGAAGGAAAAGGTGAGCGGCCCCGGGGCAGCGAGGGCTGGTGGGAGACCTCCCCTGCCCGCACCCACGAGCCCCGGCGCAGGCTCCGGCATCGGCATTTTCTCTTGTGCCGGGACCAAAGCAAACCAGAGAGGGACAGAACGTCACGGGCATTAAGTGCTGATGATCTCTGGAAACAAGCCTTAATAGCGGGGCACGCACGCAAGAGTTTGTTGTGTTTAAATATTCATTGCCGCTTTGCAGAAATGAACGGCTGAAGATGTGCCTAATGGGTTTTAAATCGTGTCGGGGCGGACGTTGAATGCAGCAGATGATGAACTGCGGCACGGGGGCGGGAGAAGGACCTGACCTGTGGGGCAGGACCCCATCCAGGGCACCACGAGCTGGGTGCTCCCCAGCCCCACGTGGGAACCAGCGGGGATGGCCACAGCCACCACTTCCACGGCAAAAAGAAATTCAAGTAAAATACAAAGGAGGTCACAAAGTGCCTCCAGAGTTAAGCACTGACCTGCCTCCATGGGGAAATCATGTGCCTTAAAGGGCTGAATATTAAATTAAGGATAATTTTAATGGTATAAAGGAGACAAGAAAAGAAGCCAAGCTACAGATTAAAGAAAACATAATTAAGATGAGGATGAAAAATCAGATGCAATTTTCTTCCCTTCCAAGCGCACAGGTAACTAAAGGTAAAGCATCACGTGAGCTTTTACAGGTCAGCTTCCAAAGCCCATCCTTTGTCGAGAGCCCTCGCTATGGAGAGAAGACGCCCCGGGAGGCCAGGGAGATTCATGCACCTGAAAGTATCCCGTTCCATGGCAGTGCATCGCTCCAGGTGCTTGCTGCCTCCTCTGAGCCGTTCCAGGAGGGTTGTTATTTCGCAGGCTCATCCCGGTCTCAGAAATAAGGGAGGAGGAATTTGGGGGAAAAGCAAAACCCCCAAAACCCCACAAAAATTCAAGAAGCACATGAGCTGTCTTCTGGCCGTGAATTAACCTCATCTCTTCTAGAAGCTGGCATCTCGGGAGATATTTCTGTCTGCCTCCAGAAACTACCTTGCCCTTCCTAGCTCCTATTTTTATTTTTGTGTTGTCTGAACACAAGGAAGAAAATATGAGACTGTGGTCCCCAGAGAGCATCTCTGCTGCTGGTCACCGAGGTTAATGACTTAATCCCCTGTGACTTCAGCCATCTGCTCCAGCATTACGCATGTGTCATCCCAGCAATAAACAGCCAAATTAAAATGCAATCCTGCTTGATAGCTGGTCCTTTCGGAAGAAAGGTGAGAGGCTGTGACCCGTGGGGAGACAGTCAAACCATCGCACTTTTAGAGGGGACTGGAAGGAAGGGAATAGCTGCACCCAGGCAGGGGGACAGCCAGATCCAGGAGCGATGTGTCACGTCACACCAGGGAGAACCGGCTCCGTGCCGCAAGGCGCTCTCCAGAAATGGCCACTTCTAACTTTGGATGATCTAAGATATTTTCTTCGATGCCAAGAGCACGATGGACCTCATTAAGCAGCAGAGTAGACTCGCTGCCTTATTCACGGCACCCAATTATGGGTGCATGATGGAGCCAATTACTGCCTGGAGGTGCTCCTGCACCAGCTGGGAGGAACGGGCTCCCCGGGGACTGCAACTGGAGCATCCCCACCACCACCACCCCAGCATCGCCACAGCAGAAGATGGCACAGACCCACTGCAGGGACCCCCCGAGTCCAGGCCAAGCAGGGAGGGAGATGGGACGAGAACGGATCCGTCCTCGTTGCAGGTCCGCTTTGCCTCCGAGCCCTCTGCCCGCTGGCTTCCAGCCCCTGCGCCCCTAAACTGGCCCAAAGGATTATCCTAATCCCCAGGCAGTTGTGAAGTCCTTCATCAACTCAAGCCTGACACGCTCTTGCTGTATCACTGTTTAAGACGATTTCAGCTCCTATTATCCTTCTCTGTGCTATGAGACAAGGACCCAGCCAAAAAAAAAAAACCAAAACCAAACCACACGCCAAAGTGCCCCTGTCCTACAATCCTCATCAGCATCCAGATCACGTATCCCACCGGCCTCCATCCACCCCCAGTGCTAAAAATACTCTTTCACTAGATTAATTTGAGCTGGGTTTGACATGAAGTCCAATTCCACAAACATCTTCTCAACAAGGAGCATCGATTTGTTCCCACCCTGCCCCGGCTGGCCGAGGGAAGGGGCTCGTGGGACGGCGGATACAGGAGCGGGGACGTGAGAGGGCAGGAGACGGATGGCACTAAATCAGGAGGGACTTCAAGGCACGAGGAGGTTCATCTGCAGCCAGCACCCAGCTGCAGACTTCAGGGCTGCTCAAGTATTTGATGTAAAGCTCAAATGCCCCCCCTCAAACACATCCGCTTCGCAAGACAACTCCAAGTACTTACTGCATGTTCCCCCTGTGGAAGCACAGTCACTTCATGTAAGTTATTCCTTATATTAACCAAAACCAGGGTTTTAATGGATCTGCTTTTTTTTTTCCCCCTTACAGGAATAGAAAATCCCAGAAAAATCCCATGAAATCAGGCTTTCCAGGGGCACCTCCCTAGAGCAGCCCTTCCGACCGAGGGACACTCACAACCGCTGCATCCCTGCCAGGGGCCAGCCTGGCAAACCCGGATTATTTTGTAATATAAGGAGCTATCCTGGCTAACGTCCGAGCAGCTCCTGAACGAGTGCGTCTGTACGAGACTGATACGGATGCTGTCCCATATTTCTGTAGCTGCACATCCTCCAGCTCTTGTCGTGCAAGCCAACAAACACAAAGGAGCTGGCAAGGCTCCGGCTCACGCCTACGCGCAGGAGGGAAATCGGCTGCACCGGCACATCCGCCAGCCTTCCCCTCCTCTACTCCGAGTCCTCCGCCCAGCTTGGGGTTTTTGGGTTTTTTTATGAATGAGGATGAGAAAAACCTCCTCCGACTCGGCTAACGAAGGTAAAAGGGAGAGTTTTCTGCAGGTTGCAAACAG